AACAAACATTGTATTTTCACAAAACCACTGAACTGCTGTCTACTTCTCTACTCAGAGCGGTTTTAATGCTGCAATTCCTTGACAGTATCGGGAAATGCCATCAGAGACCTAATAAAAAGAGAGATCTCTGGTGAGGCAGCTTTGATAGCATGGATGCTTCCTACTATTAACTTCAAAGGAAAGAAAGTGAGCCTAATATTATTATTGGGTTTTTAAAGCACTCCTTTGGCACCAGTGCATGACACCCTCCATCCCAAAAGCTGAAAATACTTTCCAGACTTCCACAACATTCCCTCGAGTCAGGCATGGAAACTTATTGTTTAGGTGAAGTAATTCAGAAGCATATAAGCTGGTGCATGCAGACCTATTTTCCCTGCAGATGGAGGATTGTCCTTAGACTCATCTGTAGATGTAGCCTGTAGAGATCTCATTACTCACCATGCATTGCTAGACTCATGCTCCCCACTGACTGCAGACACCATAATACTTGCTATCGACTGAGAACAGAGATTCCACATTGGTTTCCTTAGTAGCAGAAGCAATACTACTAATCTGCTCTATAGGCCCCTTTCTCCTGTAATTGTAGTAAGTGTTACAAATGTAGCCAAACCTTCTGATGATTGTTTCCACAGGTTTATGACATGGCAAATCGCCTGCGTCACAGGTGTACAGTAAAAATAACAGGAAGCTCAGCCAGGTTGCTATCTTTTGCATAATCTGTGCAAAAATCTGTTTCCTAGGTAAACTGCAAATGGTCCGTTTGTGTGATGTAGTGATTTGAACACAAGATCTGCACTGAAATGCTAGAATTGCATAAAGCTGCCTTTAGGCAAGTTACTTATCTTCTCTATGTCTCAGTTTCCCCATGTTTAATGCAGGACCTACAGTGTCTCACCCTTAGGGATTCAAAAGAACCGACTACAAACAGCAGAGGTGCTGAATTTCACTGTGTGCAATAGAGCAATGAAATCATTGCATCAAGGCTATTCCCAAAGTGAATGCGTTGCATGTATGCAAGAAAAAAAGATTCTGCTTTAAAGTCTTTAACTATCTAGGCAAGCACATGATGTGACAGACAGGTCTAGAACATACTCAAGAGGCATTTGTTTCTTTGAAATACATGAACTAGAGACATTAACGACAACAATTAGCACTGTCCGGCTCCTTTCATGGGTATCACATGCATGATGATACCCAATTTCTATAGACACCAATTGCATATTATGGAAATCACACAGGATAAAGATATTTACCTTCATCATGTCTGTGGAGGCCTGCAACGTAAGTTCCCTGAGCACATACACATGCAGTGATGGGAACTTAATTTTCTACTCTTTATGAAGCCACAAGAGTGCAGAGGGTAAACTAATAAGCCAAGTATGGATTTGTCCAAATCAAACAATTGTAGTCAACTAAAGGAGCAGCTCTATATTTACATTTGCAAGCAGAGGCTTAAACTGAGGATGTAATATCTGGAGATCAGCAGGGTTCTACCCACCAAAGTATTGGAAGAACTGGAAGATACTAAAACATGCAGCTATGAGAAACTTCTTTCTTTTTTTATATGTTAAAAACCATTTAAGCTTGCTAATTTTTGCTGTCTCAGACAATCAAAATTCCAATTGTCTGGGACATCAAATCTAAAAAAGCATGAAATTAATCTTCAGAAGTTAAAGTCTTACAGGCATTGCATCATTATTTTTGTTGGATATATTTTTGATTATAATGCAGATGAACCCCAAATTTAATAAAACTAAAATAACATGAGTTAAGTATGAAACATAACAGGATATTGCAAAGAGATTAGGCAGTTTCCTTTAGACTACTTGCAGAGCCCAAGGAAAAACCAAACTGAGAGACACAATGACGAGAAGTCACTGCTCAATTAGAATACTTAAGAGAGGATGAAATCAGAATACTCATAGCACCGGCTTTGGCAACACAACACAGTGAGCAGAATATGGACCCGAAACATCAGTAGTTCATACTGTTTTGCTTGTCGAGTGTCTGTGGTACAGAAAGAAGCAGGCTAGCTAAATTTAAACCAGCTGTAATGATGAGAGTGTTACAGTTGGAGAGGAGGAAGCTTACCTCATGAAAGTATTGTGGAAACTGCTGTTGGAAAGATAATAAAAGGATTAACTGCAGTTTTAGTGAACCATTTACTTTTCAATCAAAATGTCTCTTGTATTTCCTGTTCTCAAGTAGCTTGAATTCCAAAATTCCTTTGTCTATTACAGTACATAGTAGCAAAGCCTGTCATAAGAAATTAATATTTTTACATGGAAAAGCACTTGTATGTACGAGGGTGGGGTGCTGCTCACTGTTAGCTTCTGAGCAGTTCAATACCTAGTCAGGCAGTAATCTTACAGAGAGGAACAAAATCAAGGGCTTAAAAAGAAAGTACAATGGGTAATTGTGAACAGCGAAAGCAAATCTCCACTACAAATACCGAGAGATGTAAAGTTACTTTAACAGAGCTACAGCAAAAACGAAACAAAATCTCAGACCTCTATAGACAGAGAATGAATCGCCTTCGTAATTTGCAGGAATAACAGCACAATTATTACCACATCAAAAGAAAAGCCATCATTTACAATGACATGACATCACTGCACAATGAAACACTGCACAGCAACCCTGGTTTAAAGTGGAATGGAATTCGCTGGGCAAATAATCCCCACTTGATATTAATAACTTTAAGGAGCCGTGTTGCAGCTTTGGATCTTGCCCCTGTTAAACCAAGGTCTTTCCAGAGCAGAAAACTAAATCTGCAAAGGCGACATGTTTTTCATGTGTTCACTTGTGATCCAGCTTTACTCCACACAGGATTCCAGGTTGAACATTTAATACATGGATACCTCTACTGACAGTGGAAGGCTCTTACTCTGGGAATAGAGGAGTTAACTGCAAGTTGTGCAATGTAAAGTTCCTAGTTCTGATTGAGGCATTCCATGTATGGGAACAACTGCAATATCTGCTCAAATAAAACAGATCTTTATGTACTTACATGCCAAGGCTGTAAGATACGTGCCATGAAGGCTGTCTGCAATATCAGATGCAAAGTTTTTTCCAACCTATTCACAATGTTAAACCTTGAGATGTTATCAAAAGCCAGTTCTTTAGTGCAGCTGAAAATAACTGAAAGTAGGAAACTTTTAGCATTTGCTAAGACATTACATGATTTAACATCACTGGTTTATCCAGTTTCCTGTAGGAATGGGAATGTAACATTAGAAACCTGCTATTGTAATACCCGTCAAATATCCATTTTGCAGAAAAAGACAAAAGTTCCCTCACCCATGGAATCTACTGAATCTTTCAGAATCATAGTAAAGCTAATCAGGGTTTCACAGTTTAAGTATTTCTTTTAAAAACTATGAGATTAAAGTGGGAAGAAGCCTGATCTCATCCCAGCTGATAAAAACACTAAAAACAACAAATAGGCTAAAAGAGAATCTGTAAGTGTGCTTTCACGGCTTGCTACCTATACTTTTGTTTGGAAGGCAGCAAGTAACTTGCATTATCCTTTGATGATTTCTGACCAAATAGAAGATTTAAATAGGAAGCTAAATTCCTTTGTATGTCTACAAACTGTGATCAAGCTACTTCTGGAAACGAGCAAGTCAGTTCCTTTCCCACAAAGGAACGGGTAAGTCTTACAGCATTTCCATTTTATCTTGGACAACCTGATGGCTTTCTCTAAATATACACAATGTTTGCAGCCTTACTTTAGGGAATACCCACTGAACAGTGCAGGCATTAAGGTAACATTTTTCATTTATCCAGAAGAAGTAAGAAGATAATAAGGATGACCACTTCCAGAGAAAATTATTCTCTGTAACACATTCTGAATACTGTTGTCTTCTTCCTTCTCCCTTCCATAACCATTGCAGGCCAGCAAGCTTTTTCTTGAACAAATGACAAAAAAGCCCAAGATTTTTATATAGACATTCTTTCCTATTCCTCCATAGAACACTCCAGCTTGTCATGGAAAAATCTGCCTTGATCTAACTTCCTTACAAACATTTTCCATTATATCATTCTCTGATCAAAACAATAAAATAGATATATAGTCAAAAAACCCCTCTATCGAGAACCACAACCTGCTGCTATAACCATTCTCTTTGTCTGTCCTTGTGTGTGTGTGCTCATGCACATGTTGGTGTTACAAACAAGACTTGCCAAATTTCATGGCCCAATTTGGAAGCTTATGTCAAACTTGTTTTGCTTCATCGGTTTCAGTCAGAGTCTTATATCATTGTTGTTTCAAACATGTGGAAAGCTTAATGGAAGTCATTAACTTTTATTTTAGTTTGGCCATATTGTCATCATGGTGGGCAGATGCAGAGATGGTGTTATTCCCAAGATCCTCTTTTTGGAACACTGATGTTGTTTACATCTTCTTGATCAGAAGAGAACAATGGTTTTTACTTATTTTTAAAGCTCTGGTTTGCAAATGAGAAAAGCCCCTAAAAAAACCTTTGAAAATGTCATTAAAGATATTCCTTTATTCTTTAACTGTTTCAAATCCTTTAACAAGTTTCTGTTTCTTTTCTAAACTACCATTTGAAACTCCGGCACTCACAAGTCTATGGGTTATTGTTCAGCTGAAGGAATGAGAAGAATTTCATTAGATGTGTTTTATGTTTCTTGATTAAAAATGTCACCCGAGGCTCAGTGACTTTGTTTTACATTAAATGACTGCTGTGTGCTTTGATCATCACTTTATTAATGCTTTAATGAATATTTAAAAAAATAAAGCACTGTATTGAAACTTAAGCTCTCCTATAAGGAAACTGAATCCTTGTTCCAAGAACTACAGTATTTCTTACTCAGACATTTCCTTCTAGATTAAGGTTTTCTCCAATTCCCCTTTAGCCTGCTGCAAACTAAGTTACAGGAGAACACAACGATTACATTGGAATAAGATTGAAGAGAGAGCAAGAAAGAGAGCAGAGCAGTATGTTTCTATTCAAACAAATATATTCCAGGCTTACCATGCACTTGTTTGGTTTTTCTCCAGAATGAACCCTCATATGAATCAGCAGTTTGTATCGAGCATTGAAGGGTTTATAACGGCGGACACAGCCTGCCCAAAAGCAAGTGAAGTCCTCTCCTTTCCGCTGGTCAATGTGAGTCTTTTCTATGTGTCTGACCAGTTCATCTTGTTGGTCGTAAGTGGCACTGCAGTCAATCCACTGACAGACCTGTTTGCCATTGCTGAGGTCCTGTTCGTCCCCATCGCTGGGCTGCAGGGACTTTGGAGACATAGAGGCGTGTAAGTGAGGCAGCGTCCCTTGAGCCTGGCTTAGCTGCTGGTGTAGATGGTAAGGAGGAGGCAGCCCCTGGTGATGTCGAAAAAGATCAGCAGTGGAGGAATAATCATCAGCCGGTTCTTGTTTTAAGAAACTCACCTTCTGGGTGCCGTGCAAGGTGTTTTGATGGGGGATGCTAGTACCATTCATCAGAAGGCTGAGGCTTCCATTCTCCTCGACTTGCTGCATTTGTATCTGCTCACAGTCACCTCTGTCACATTCAGCAGAAATAGGTACAAGACATGCTGGAGGGGAGGGAATACTGCAAGGGTTTCCAGGCTGAGAGCAAGACTGGGGCCGAGAGGATTTCTGAGCACTGTGATGACTGATCTCCACAGGCTGAGAGGAAATGCCAGCTGAATTAGTTCGCAGTCCATTCACACAGGTGACCAGTGACGTCTGTGATGTGCGGATGATAGCTGTAATATCAATTCCTTCAGATGAAGACGGCACAACAGAGATGCATCTCTTCTTCAGGTTGCTTGTTTGTAGCCTGGCCGAGTGCTGAGGGGTGCCAAGTGACAAAGGACCCAGGGAGGAGCTATGTTCATTATTAAACAAGTAGGATGAAAGTGAATTTGTAAAGCTATTATTCATTAGGTCTATTTCAGGATGCAGACTACCAGAGGCTCTTAGCTCCATCCCCTCCGTAATCCTCCTATGTGTGGAAGCCTCAGACAGAACCTTATAATCACTCGGGCATTCTTGTTTAATGTGCTGAGCCGGGTGACTTCCATTCAGGCATGGAGCAGCAGAATCAACTGAGTCTTGAAACCTGGGTGACCTGTAATACAGTTTTCATTAAGTATCACTAACTACTACAGGCTTTATGATTTTTCTATGAGACACAACACTTGTTAAACCCTGCAGAATAGAAGCACTTGCTCTCTGTTGAATGTTGCCAGTCTACTGCAGCAATTACACCCAAAACATCTGCAATGTTTCCTCTATAACCCTTGTAAAGGCAACATCGTTTTACACAGGATTAATTTTACACACTGGGTTACGCACAGAACAGACAATCTCCCCTCCACTGCTACAGGCAGTTCATCAATCACAATCTAGGTTTTCAATGCATAATAGATTGGGCAAAACAATAGCTGAGAACAAAGTTTCAGAGCTTTGGGCATTTTTGAATTATTCAAATATCAGCATTTTCCTCAGAGCACACTGGGGAAATGCCTTGGCATTCTTGTTCACACGAATCAAGAAAAGCAAGCTGAGCTTTGCTTACATCTCAGAGAGATGCTTTCCTTCACTAAATGAAAAAAAGGAGCAAGATCAATGAGGAAAAAAGGGATATATATAAAGAACAGCTCATTTTCAACCAGTGGTCTGGAGTAGCTGAAAGATCAAGCAAATACTTTTGCTTCCTAAGAGGTCTACAAACCATAACTAAGAAAAGTTCACAACCTGTAGATTTAAACTGGTAGTCTTGTGTATTCCCATTTCTATTTTTCATATTAAAGTCTATATGTGTCTACAAATCGAAAGAAAATCGTTCTTCAGAAGGGATTTTTAATCTTTCTGGATGTGTGTTGAATCCAATCACTCAGGAAGGAGAACCTTGGGGAATACCACATAGACATTGCAGAAAGGAAACGTTTCCTCCTGACATTTTTCTTCCAAACAGTTAGCAATTGGCTTATGCCTTAAAATAACACATTTTATCTCAGCTACAAACGTTTACTGGGGGTGACCCTACTGTGTGTTTTTTCTGAGGATCAGGTGTTCCTTACGTATCCCTAAAGCACAGGAAGGTTTAACCTACGGCTTCATCCTGCAGCGATGTGCCAGATCAAGAAGTGGAAACAGTGCATCTGTGTGCAGGAAAGCTGTACCTGAACTAATAAACCCTCCAGAGAGGTGCTCCACGGCTCTTACACCGACATGTTCCACTTAAATGAATTTTATGCTTGATGCTAGCACCACGAAAGCTGAAGAAAACCTGGCTATTGGGCAAATTGTGTGTGACACCACAGCTGAGATAAATCTGACATGTTTTAAACCACGAAACACGTATGCGTAAGGTATTTTAGATATACACATACATTAAACTGCAAAGCTGCTGAAGAAACTGCATTTATTTTACAACTTTGATGACTTTATCACTATTATTTCCATTGTTCCACCACTAACATTAAGATGGGAAAGTGGGACAACTTCTAACGCTTCCTTGGTGATAGCTCTCAAAGAACCATGGATTAGAAAGAATGAAACCGTAACAGCAAGGTTTAAAAAGACTTCCTCCTCATGAAATTAAGGTCTTCAAAAAATTACATCTGTGAGGCACACAAGTGGTAATGCTGCATCCACTGGTGACAGTGGATCCACTAAGCTCCACCAGTTCTCAGCCAGTAGGGCTTGATATAAAAAAACCCTTCAAGGGTATGAAAGAAGTGAAATTCCCCACCATTCATTGCTATAGAACAATCAGATCTTGCATTTGCCACCAGAAATTTAAAGAGAGGTTTCCATAAACCATTAGTTGTAATTCCTCCCTTTAATTTTGGTCTCAGGGTAAACTTAAAGCACCTGGTTTTGCAGATAGTAAATTAAAAAAAAAGAAAACAAACCCCATACATATTCATACATTATTTTTTAACTTACAGAACCACGTGTCTCTAAAATATGTGCCATAAGCATACATAAAAACCTTTTCTTGCACAGGTTTGGGAAACCCTGCCCTGCTTGCTTGTAGCTTCATTGCTCAGTAGAATCATAGAATAGTTAGGGTTGGAAAGGACCTTAAGATCATCCAGTTCCAACCCCCAGTAGAAAGCGTGCTGCTTCAAACCTATTCTGAGAAAGGTTTTACAGCACACCACACTATTTCCTACTACTTAGTTTCTTCTGTACAAGAACTCTGTGAAATAATTCAGTTTGTATCATATTTTAGCGGTCCCAAAGCCTCAGGCTAAAGTAAACACAACACATTTCTTCCATCATATAAAGCTAACCCACGCCTTACATTTCAGCCTGTGATAATTGGTGTCATATTATTAGGCTTTATGTAAAGCTCCTATCTTGCCAGAAGCCCATGAGAGGAGTTCAAGCTGAAGTCTGCAGAGAACCTGCAGGATGGATACAAACATCCTTGTCCTGAGACTTACTACATTCCCAAAAGTCCCAGGAACATTGATCTGCATTTCCAGCACAAGATTTTACTCACTCAGGACTATATTGCTCTGATGCTGCAGTGCAGAATGTGAGACACATGAAAGAGGGGAGTTTTGAACCAAAAGACAAGCTGGAATAACTTATCAAAAGCAAATGGGAGGAAGTTGCTGAATTCACCCTTCCCACTGCCACAGCCATGTCTTATCCATGTTCTGCCCACGTAATGATAAGCACAGGCTGCTTCTGCAGATCAGAAGGAAGCCCCTCCTGGGAGGTGCAGTTTTCTCTGTAGCGCTCTACATATAGATATATTATATATCCTATGGTAGTTAACACTGATGAGAGAATCTGGCCTGTTTTCGCTGTCCCAGTGCTTGAGTGTTGGGGTACTTAACGTCAAGGTAATACAACTAATACAAACTCCCAGTGTTCGTGGCAGAATTTTGCCCTCACTGTTCTAGGGAAAGCCCTGCTTGAATTTCCCAGTCCTGGGCAGGGTGAGGGGAGAAGGGGCACAGAAATAAAACTGATGTGAGAGAGAAACAAAACATCTGGCATCCAACTTACTGGGTGACTCCTCTTATACCCACTGGCTATTTGCTCCTGTAATGGCATCTTGCTGTTGGAGCCAGGGATCAGATTCCAGGCCTGGTACACACAGGCAGTGCTGGCTGTAAGGATTTCACAATCTCTGGACTGTAGCCAGATATAAATGCATGTGAAACAAACAGCCAAGAGGAGAGCAAAAGGGACAGATGAGAGCAGGAGAGTGTAAAGAGCACTGCGTGGACACACAGCATGAGCAGCTCTGGGAAGCTTCCAAACGAGCAGCCCTGGAAGGGAGTGGAGTCAGCAGGAGAACATACACCACACACCCCTCTTCACAGGGAGCATCCATGTACCAGGGATGGACAATCTGAGGCAACAGAACTGCTGCTTAAGCACATGAAAACTGAGTGTGAGGCCTTTGAAGAGTAACAGCAGCCTCTCAGAGGATACTAAGGCAGTGTTTCCAAAGAGACTCCCTTATGTGGTAATTGGAGCCAGAGCACGAGGCCAGTAGCACCATGCCAGAAGTACTGCAGTTCCCAACTGCCCTCAGAGGAAAAGACGACTGTATCTGAAATCTCCATATTATTTACAAAACATGCATGCCTTCAACTGCCACTGTAAATGTGCAATCAGTGATAAGTGACAGGTTTAAGAAGCTGGAGGGGATTGTTCTGCTGCGCATCCCTCTGCAACACTATCTGACTGCTCTGATGTCTTCCCAGTTTTAGATGCCGAGCAGTGAGCACATAGTGGCGGGCTTGCCGTGACTGATAATGGATTGTTTGACAAAAGGCCAACATGAGCTGTGTGCTGACTCCAGTTGTGGTGAGGAAGGTATGAGGACTTTTCCAGTCCCACACACAGATAGCATGTCGCAGCAATTATGTTGCACAACTTAAAAGCTATTAACTGAGTGGGAAAAAGGGGCTGGGAAGAAGGCGGATTGTGATTCTTGGATTAAGGCAGTCATCCCTAGAATACAGTTACTGAGAGAATGTGATCCAGGAAGAAGCTGAAGGGGATAACAAATTTCAGTGCACTGAGGGAAGGAAGGACAAAGCCAATCATAACCCCAAATCCTAAGGGAGACTTCTGATTGCTAGGGGAGGTGCTCTCTGGTTTGTTGGGTTTTCCTTGGGTGTTCCATACCCTAGAAATGCAGAGTGGTTCAAAGCTCAACCCAGAGAGATCATTTGAATTTGCATCTTCCTTTATTTCTGTGCTGGTTATTAGAGTTGGACAGAACAACCAGATTTTGCCCTGACTTCTGTGTGCTCCAATATCTCTCTGTTCCAGACCTATTTCTCTCTTCTATTTTCTACTGAAAGTTGAAATCTGGGGAGGCACAGAGCACCCTTGGCTCCCACTGACTTCACTGGAACCTGATGGGCATTCATCCCCACCTCAGTTACGTTCTCCTGTTTTCAGATCTTCAGGGAAAGACCATGTTTTCTGTTACTTGGCTGTCAAGAACCTTTAGCATCACAAACATCATGAACAGAAATCATCCCAACTGCTGTCCATCCTCTCTCACAAGAGACAAGGTTTTGGCTTGGTGTCTCACGAGTAGTAAAATGATGGAATTAGACACTCTGTCTATGAGGTCCATAGATCAAAGATGGGCATTGGTTTTACCTTGCATAACCCATGCAGACAAAAGCAGTATTAGTGAGGTGGACAGACAAGCAGAGCATGACTAGTGGGACACACAAATAACCCACAAAGGAATGGAAGGTCCTCCAAGATCATCTCCAAACATTTCCAAACCGTTGCTTAGAAACAACAGAGCCTCAAGGCTTTAGATGATGCTACAAAGCAAAGGGGAGGGAATCAGGCCTGTCACCTGCTAGTTTCTCATGTTATGCAGCAGACAATCCTTTATGTCATTCTGGGAGTCCTCTTCCAAATGGGGGCTGGAACAGGTTCATGTTTCTGAGGTGGGTACTGCGATGCCTGGTATGCAGCTATCTGTCATTTCTTTATTATAGATTTCACAAAAAGGTTCCTAAAGATCCAAGCAGAGTATTCTCATTATCCTTTTTGTTTGCTCCTGCCCTAATTATCTTTGTTTCATAAACGGGTAGAATAAAAGAAGGTTGGTAACTGCTAGTCCCACAGTGAGCCAGAAAGAAGCTAAGAGGGAGCAGACTTACATCCAGATGCAAAGGCATCCACAAATCCTTGTAGCAACTGCAGGGTATTTTTGTTATGTGGCAGGGATATTATTTGTCCTTTTCAAACAAACAAACAAACAAACAAACAGCTCTTTCCACTTGCTTGCCATATTCCTGTGCCTCCTCCTCCTGAAAACACAGATGTTCTTACCCCACCAGTAAACGGAAAAGGGAAAACAAGACATAAATATGTATAATAAAATCAGAAACAGTCAGATTCCCAAGCCTAAGCTGTAGGCCATATTTCCTCTTGCTATGACTATGGAAATTTGGGCTTGATAGCTCCATACACAGAGTGCCAATTATCCCAAGTATCTAAGATAAGGGCTGCAACTTTACTGAGGTTTTTCTTTTCTACAGCTCTTCAAAAAGGTCAAGATTATTCTGTATTATATTGCCTGCCAAAAAGCAGTGCAATTAAAATAGATGGACAGATTTTAATTTGTAGCAGGCTTCTATTCACAATGGATGTCTGTTTAGGGTACTTGTTTAAAATCTGGTAAAGTTAAATTTGTAACAACAACAGAAAAATAATGGCATTCTGTGTTTTCATATAATTAATTTATAGCAAATGTTTAAATAGAGATTCTGTTCATAGCATATCCAACTACAGTGTATATATCAAAACCAGAGACCAAATTTTCACATTACGGCCTTAAAAGCAAATACCAAGGATGTGGCTGCATGGGAACATTGAAAATACTTCATTAAAGGAAACGCTGTAGTGGCATTGGCTTCCTGTAGGTTTGATGGTGACATGCCAAATTGTCATATGGGAGACATTGGTTTGGGAGTAAGTATCATCCCTGCCTTCCAGGCTGCAGTTTAGAAACAACATGGCATTGGGGTGGAGGTACAGAGGAGGCAAGTCTGACCCTGCTTAAGCCCCTAGCAGAACTCTCATTGACTTTTGAGCATGCTGGAAGACCCCCCCAGAGCAGCTGTATTTAATCTTCAATTCAAGGGGCTGCAGCTGCACATACAGTGACTCCTCCTGGCACGGCCTTGGACACTTTCTGTGCACACGTGCACGTCCCTGCAGTGCAAACCTGCAGATGAGCAGTGTGGTTAAAGCGGCATCCAAAGCACTTCCAAAATGAAGCAAAAGCCAAAAGCACCATTCCAAATGTAGCACCCGTGGAGGGTATTGAGAAATAGTTCCAACACAGAAGCACTCCAGAAGAGCAAAGTATATCAACCGGTAAAACTTGCGGTGGTACCTTATATCGGAGTGTGTCAAGTTCAGCTGACCAACATGAAGCAGTCTCTCACAGGACAGTGGGTGGTCTCGCATCAGGGAGTTCCCTGTGTGGATGAACAGACCTTGTCTGCAGACAGGTACCGAGCTACTTGTCATCTCCATGTCCATCATGTTCTTCTTCTCAGAGATCAAGTTACAATGGTTGTAGCCACCGTTCACTGTCAAAAAACCCCAAAAGAAATTAATAATCGTAAGGCTTTGACTGAGAACCCTCCACCCTGACTACTGCTTTGTGTGCTCAGTTCAGATCTCCTTGCAAAATTCTTGTAAATGACACGGCAGTGGAAATGAAAGGTTTCACAAGGAAGCAAAAATGAATTGCAAAGGAATGTGGGTCTCTGAAGTACGGTTGTTTATTTCTCATTTTAAGTTTTGTGGCTATTTTACACTTCATAATGTAACTCAAAAACCCCTTAGCCTGATAGCTTCATTTCCTTCTGTTTATTTTTATGGTGGAGTCTTGCCTGGGTTAGATTTTGGAGAGGGATGTTTCAGACTCCCTTTATTTCCAGGGAGAGGCACCCTCTGAAAACAGTGATGTAAGTCAAGTTTTTCTTTGCAGACAATTCTCTCTATCATTATGACTTTAGATGGGCATGTTTCTACTTTACTGTCAGGTCAACAGTGTGAAAAACTGTAATTCATTTAGTTTCGATGTATACATTTAACTGTATTTTCCAAGCAAGCTATTATTATCAATGCTAATGCTAATAATAATAACATATTTGTCCCTGGTGAATATTACATTTTAACAGAGTTGGTAAAACAGAGTAGAGCTATAGCAATACTCTTCAGAAATACATCTAGAACCACAAATGACAATCTAGCTAAAAAGAGAGGACAAAGCAGAAACAGAGAATTTAGATTGCATTGGTCAAACACCAGCAATTCCATTTAACCTAAAGCGTATTAGTTGGGTTCTTTACCTCTAGTGAACTAGTCAAATACTCATAGATAAGCATATATAAAAGCAGCTATAAGAAATTTACCCTTCAGGGGCTAGCAAAAAGTCACAATAGCCATTTCCCATCATTTTCACCACCGTATATGAATTGTGCTTTTAAAATACTAGATCTTCAACACAGCCCCTCAAAGCAAAGGTACTCTTAACATACATGAACCCCCTTTTTCTCTTATGGACAGCCACTAATGCCTCTGGACTCTGTCTTTTCCAACCTAAATGATTCTAATCTTATAGCAAAGGCAAGTGGGAGAGCCCGGGCTGCTGTGGTCCTCTGTAATGACAGTCAATGAATGCTTTGAAAGAGATGAGAATCACATTCAGGTTTTTGATGAGTATAAATGAGAAGAAACAGGTGACTGGGGAAGGCAAAAAAAGCCTCTGGTAACTGGAGAATTTGTGAAAGGGATCACAGCACAAAAGTCCATTCTCCTCCACTGGCTGGGCTCCACAGCCTCCCCAGCATGCTCCGCAGCACCATTGTGATAGGAAAGCCCTATGGCAGATGAAGACGCGGTGCAGACAAGCATCCAGACCCACAGAAAAGAGAGGGTACATGTGACACCCAAATTACAAGTTTTATGAGGCATTATTGTGACATTTCCAGAGCAGAGTTCCCTGTTTCCAGTGAAACATTTTCAGCGTTTGGCTGATACATTACATTTGTTGACCATTTCTTTATCTGATTTCTATATTTTTTTAAGAAATCAGAATACTTAAAATTGGAAAAAAACAATACTGGGATTTCCCCACCCAGCTCCATCACTACCCCAAGGCAAGCCTCAGGAACTGTTGGCCCGCATTATTTTATATAGACAGAAAGCTCATGTAAGATTTTTAGGAATAATACACGAGTATTGTATTTAACTATACAAAATGAGCTGTTAGCCTTTGTCCTGGTAATTAATACATGTGTTCTAATTATTTCAGAAGTATATTCAGAGACCTCAGTCCACCGATACTGTGTGATTGTTCTGAATGACTAAAGACATGAATCATAGAATCCCAGAATAGTTAGGGTTGAAAGGACCTTAAGATCATCCAGTTCCAACCCCCCTGCCATGGGCAGGGACACCTCACATTAAACCATATCACCCAAGGCCTCGTCCAACCTGACCTTGAACACTGCCAGGGATGGAGCATTCACAACCTCCCTGGGCAACCCATTCCAGTGCCTCGCCACCCTAACAGGAAAGAATTTCCTCCTTAGATCCAATCTAAACCTCCCCTGTTTAAGTTTGAACCCATTACCCCTTGTCCTATCACTACAGTCCCTAATGAAGAGTCCATCCCCAGCATCCCTGGGCATATCCCCTTCAGATACTGGAAGGCTGCTATGAGGTCTCCACGCAGCCTTCTCTTCTCCAGGCTGAACAGCCCCAACTTTCTCAGCCTGTCTTCATATGGGAGGTGCTTCAGTCCCCTGATCATTCTCGTGGCCTCCTCTGGACTTGTTCCAACAGTTCCATGTCCTTTTTATGTTGAGGACACCAGAACTGCACACAATGCTCCAAGTGAGGTCTCACGGGAGCAGAATAAAGGGGCAGGATCACCTCCTTCGACCTGCTGGTCACGCTCCTGTTGATGCAGCCCAGGATACGGTTGCTTTCTGGGCTGCAAGCACACACTGAAGCCGGCTCATGTTCATTTCCTCATCGACCAGCACCCCCAAGTCCTTCTCCTTGGGCTGCTCTGAATCTCTTCTCTGCCCAGCCTGTAGCTGTGCCTGGGATTGCTCCGACCCAGGTGTAGGACCTTGCACTTGGCATGGTTAAACTTCATGAGGTTGGCATCAGCCCACCTCACAAGCGTGTCAAGGTCCCTCTGGATGGCATTCCTTCCCTCCAGCGTATCAACCGAACCACACAGCTTGGTGTCATCGGCAGACATGAAGGAACTGTACAGACATGTAGCATCCTTTAGCCTGCACAGGGCAGCCACTTCGGACCAAAGCATTTCAGAAGATCACTCTGGATGCCTTTCAGCTCCCAAGGGGATGTTTGTGACAATTAGCACTGCCCTGGTTGTAATCATGACCCAAGTTAGCATGATACCCTCTGGAGTCCACACCTCCATCGGGCTTTATCCCATCATAATTTAACTCACTTCAAAGCTGATATCTACCTCTGCAAGACTGTATAATCAGGCTCATAGCTGTTAATTTGGATAGATAAATGAAGCATTTAAAGAGTATCTAAATACAGTGTTGAACACTGGTGAAATAAGTTCTATACACTTTTAAAGTGCATACACTAACAGAAGTTGGTAGATCAGTCATACTGAAAATACCCAGTTCACAGTTCCTCTCCTTTTCCACCAGCAGTGTTACCTGGAATATATTCAAGACGTACCTTCCCTCCAAAATACTACAGATTCTTTTTAAGTGTTTAAGTCTTACACTGGATTTGTAATAAAACCACTTTCTTTCTTTCTTTCTTTCATTCCCCCCCAAAATACAAGTCTGAAATTCATTAGAGCTTTCTAGATATTCATTTTATCAACTTTATCATATTATCCAAACACAGAAACTTGAAGCCTTCACCAAAGTTCAGCAACACCAACTGTAGCACACACCAATACCTATTTATGTGAGGATGGAGATTTCCTAGAATAACATGAACATTATCCCTGTGCTGTCAAAAATGATTATCTTCTCTTCCAGCTGTCAAATCAGAGAATACATTTTCCCCCTGCAAAGGAACAGAACACTCATGCTATATGCGTGAAATTATGTCTTTCAGCCAATCCACTGTACATTTGCCTTCACAAAGCACCTTACAGAGTTATTAACAAGACTAGGAGTTTCTTGCACAATAGTGCCTTGAGTGAAGTCACACTTGCATCCGAGCCCTCTGAAATGTGCCCACCATATGGGAGTTGGAACAATGACAGGCAAGGAACACCACCAGCCCCACAGCAAGTAAAGTAAGAATCGAGAGGTTGCCTCTGAACACAGACAACCAGAGTCCACGTTCAAGCATAAGTGAAAGCAAATTTGCTGCCTCTGAAAAGAAGGAAAATAGTCTGGTTTACACCAGTGTAACTGAGAACAGAATCTGGCCTTTTGACAACTAGCTGTTTTATAGAATATTAATATCACTGGCTGGCATACACAAGATTTAAGCATTTTCCATGTCTGGAACTAGAGCTCTTCTTTCACTGGCATCGAGGGGCCTTTAACTCACATATTGTAACTTACCAATAACAGATGAAAAGAGCACATGCTCCCTGCCTTATACCAGAGGGTTCACCCTGCTTTCAGTACAACCATAGCTATTTCATAAATCTATATAAAAAAGTAATCCTAATTTACAGAGAGTAAATCTAATAAAAGCAGAGTGGTTTCCAGAAGGATCTCATGGAAGTGGAATCCATCAAGGTAACTTTTTGTCTTTCTCTTTTTCTGTTCTGCAGTTTTGATTTATATCTTTACATTTAAGTGTTCGTGGAGGGAACGGAAGAGTTGATACAGTAGTGTGCAAAGGCTGCAATCAGGCAATTCCTTCCATATGAGTAATCACATCAGTTAAGTTTTGGATATCTTGCTGCTTTTATTCTGGGGCAACTGACTTTGGGGGAGACTTTTCTTGATTTATGCCAGATTAAGACATGTGAGTATTGGTCCCATTGACTGTGATGAGGCTCCACACCTCACACTGGTCAGGATCTGCAGAGTCAGCCCTATGTGTCTTGCTAGGGGTGAATTCTCCCAGAGGAAAACAGAACATCTCCCACACACAAAGGGAAACCTGTCTATGTAACAATGAGATCAGCATTTAAAACAACCCTACTAAAGGGCAGCAGCTCTCTTTCATCCCTGGAGAACATCTTGTTTACCATTCAGTAGGGCTTCACTCTTGCTGATAAAATTAGCTATTAAGGCTAAGAAGGTAACAGCAAGAACTTCCCAAAAGGGCAATTATTCAGCAATAAACACATATCGCAGTGCTTTGGAGTTTACCTCATTGAGGCCAATGTACAAATAACTGAAATGATGCAGAATTGAAATGACTCACATTCAAAATAGAGATAGATTTGAAGTATTTGCCTAACATACTTCGATATCCCCAGAGCATTGTGGGGTTTGTGGCGAAGACCAAACTAGGTCATTTGCCTTTTTTTTTTTTTTTCTTACTGTTTCTTCTCTTTAATTACTTCATTTTATTAAAAAAAAAAAATAAATCTGCCATTCTTGGT